GTTATCCAAGAGTGTGTTCCTTTGGTTATTGACTTTGGCTTCGTTCTGACTGGTACTACCCAAAATAGAATTCTCCTTGATATTACTGTCAATTGCAACAAGAAAAGTTTTGCATGCAAAGCCCTGAAGGACTCACGTGCTGCAGGAAACTTTATCGACACGCAATTTGTCAACAAACACTCCATACTTATAAAGGAGAAATCATCTCCCCTGGCCATTGAAGCTATTGATGGGAGACCTTTCTCTCAGCCGTTTATTACCCATGAAACCATGCCTATTAGTATTACTATAGGAGCGTTACACAATGAGACTATCACATTTCAGATAATTGCTTCCCCTTCTTGTCCCATCATATTAGAATTTCCATGGCTTGTTAGGCACAACCCTCATATTGACTGAGCTAAAGGGAAAATACTGGAATGGGGTAAAGACTGTAGTGAGAGAGAGTGGGCATTGCTACTTTGCCTACTTCTACACCTCAAAATTCCAAAATTCCTGTGCAGAACTGGGAAGTTAGAGAAGCGTTCAGTAAAAGTCACACCGATATGCTGCCTCCTCACAGATCTTATGATTGCACCATACATCTGCTACCTCGCACTATGCCCCCTAAGGGGGCAGTATATGCCCTATCCCCACAGGAGAGTAGGATCATGGAGGAATATATTAAAGAGTCTTTACTGAAAGGCCACATATGTAAGGCTTCTTCGCCTGCTGATGCGGTGTTCTTTTTTGTATCCAAGAAAGATGGAGAATTACGCCCACACATTGACTATAGAGCATTGAACAAGATCACCATAAAAAATGCCTATCTCATTCCCCTTATCTCAGAATTGTTTGACAGACTCTAAGGCGCTGAAGTGTTTAACAAACTCGACCTTAATGGTGCTTACAATTTGGTAAGGATTAAGGAGGGTAATAAATAGAAACCTAGAAGTGATCACTATGAGTATTTTGTCATGCCCTTCGGGTTATGCAATGCCCTGGCTGTATTTCAAGATTTTATCAATGATGTTCTCAGAGATTACATATATACCTTTGTATTAGTGTATTTAGATGATATCCTTATTTATTCCCCTGACCTCCAGACTCATCATAAAAATGTCAAACAAGTGTTGCAAACTTTGCTTGCAAACTTGAAAAGTGCATATTTGACCAAACAGAGGTTACGTTTTTGGGATATAATATTTCAGCCTCTGGTTTCCAAAAGGACCCTCGTAAACTAGAAGCCGTTCTACACTGGCCGTTACCTAATGTGTTAAAAGCCATTTAAAGGTTTAGTGGGTTTGCTAACTACTTTAGGAGATTCATCAAAGGATTCTCTTCTGTGATAGCAACCATCACCAATATGACATGCAAGAGGCTAATTGTACTATATGGTCTAAATAAGCTATGGAGGCTTTTGAGCTGCTTAAGGAATTGTTCACCTCTGCTGACATATTGGTACATCCTGACACTAACAAATCCTTCATACTAGAGGTTGATGCCTCCGAAAAAAGGGTAGAGGCTGTTCTTTCTCAAAGGGAGAGTCAGGAAACCCCTTTGCATCCCTGCAGGTATTTCTCTAAAAAGTTGTCTCCAGTAGAGCGTAACTATGATATCAGTAACAGAAAATTGTTGGCCATTATACTAGCGCTAAAGGAATGGCGACATCTTTTGGAGGGTTCCAAGGACCCCCTTTTGATCATTACTGATCACAAAAACTTGGCATATATTGGTGATGCTAAACGACTGTCTTCTAGACAAGCTAGATTGTCTTGTTCTTATGTCGCTTTAACTTTATCATCACTTATAGACCAGGCTCCAAGAATGTTAAAGTTGATGCCTTATCTAGGCAATTTGACATTGAATCTGAACAAGAACAGGAGACATCCCCTATTGTTCCACCTGAGTGAATCATTGCATCCACTGTGATTTCCTTGTCACCCCCTCTTTGTGCTATCATGGCAGCTCAGTTCCAGGCACCTTGTGATAAACCTTAAGATAGCTTGTTTATTCCTTTGTTAGAAAGAAAGGATGTGCTAAATGTATTCAACAACAATGTAACTGCTGGACATCCGGGTATTAATAAAACTATATCCGCTGTCTCGAGATCGTTCCGATGGCCTTCACTCAGGAAAGACATCAAAGACTATGTGGACGCTTGTACAGTTTGCATGGTTTCCAAAGTTCCCCATAAACTTCCATGTGGGTTATTACAACCACTTCCTGTACCCAGTGTCCCATGGTCTCATTTGTCTATGGATTTCATTGTGGAACTCCCGAGTTCTAATGGTTATACCACCATCCTTAAAGTGGTTGACCGCTTTTCAAAAATGGCACACTCGCAAAATATTGTGTCTGACAGAAGTTCCCAATTTGTGTCACGATTTTGGAGAGCATTCAATGACTGCGGCTGAGAGGGCTAACCAGTCATTGGAACTGTATTTACGCTGTTTTATTAATAGCACACAGGAGAATTGGTCTTAATTGCTACCTTGGGCCGAATTTGCCAGGAATAATGCTACCCATGATTCATCCGGGCATAGTCCATTTTTTACAACAACGATCGACATCCGACTCTTCTTCTCGCTGTATTCTCTGACACTGCCATCCTTTCTCTGCATGACCACCTTACTTCTATACATCGAACTTGGACAAAAGTCTACTCAGCTCTTGAGAATGCGGCTGCTCGTTTCAAGTTTCATTACTATAAGCAGCGGGGTGCCAACCCTGTTTACCAGGTGGGTGATCGGGTGTGGCTCTCCTCACATAATATCAGACTCAAGGTCTCCCAAAATGCAAATCTCCCAAAATGGGGAGACATCCTGATAATGATTAACTTACCATGATTTTATGGGGGGAAAAAAAGAGAAAAACAGGAATTTGCTAAAACAATCAAATTCCCCAAGCGTGTATAGCTACTAATAAAAATAATATACTTCAAAAAAGCATAGAGAACCCATAATAAACCAGCATTTATGTGAGTCAGGGGAATGAAATTGATGTGATAATGAAATATAAATGCACAATCATTAACATTAACAATTGGCTACATCTAGAAATAAAACAAATAAAAACAATATTAAATAAAGTGATCACACAATTCATAGAAAATGTAAGTCAGAGTCAATATGCTGAAAATAAAGATTAATTGTGAACTCAGTATATAAGGAATACTTCTGCAGTGCTGCTGTGGAAAATCATGGGTTGAAATACATAGAGCTGCATTTTTCAAGGATCCTGGAGGTCTGTTTATCCAGAGTGTACATTTTTTATTTTTATGTTTTAACATTATGTTTTTTTTTCCCATCAAATCAGGAATAGTGGGGTAAGAAAAAGAACTACAAATTGTTGGTATTTTCAATTTCTGCCTATTTAGATGAGAAGATTGGAAAACTGTGTTTGCAATGAATAGCATCCAATTAAATATTAAAAATAAGAAATTACAATATATTTAATGTTGTGCATTATGGCAAAATAGAATTATTTAAGGATTCCGGTTGCATTATAATAGATAACAAGCAAAAGAGTGATGGGAGTTGCACTCCAGGGCATCAGATTCATTCAGAACCTCTCTTGTTACTGACATATTGTAAGAGGAGCTGGAGAAACAGAGACAGTGTGATTCTCTCTCCCATGCTCCTCTTCTAGCAGTAAATACCACTACTCCCCAGGAGTGCAACTCCCACCACTCTCAGGTAGCCCAGAACATTATGTCCAAATGTTACCCTATGATTAAACATCTTCACATTACACAGGATCAGTCATATCATTTTATATATTTACTGCAAAGTGTGACATCAACCACCATAAGGTAGAGGATTTGAAAACATAATCAGCTTGTTGAAATATATTATATATATTTTTTTCTAATAAAGTACATTCTTAAAAGACTGCCCTACTCATATTCTTTATATTCCCCTGTTAAAGATAAATATATTGCTACTTCAGTATGGTATAATAGCATTTTGTTCCATTGCCTTCTAGCATATATTTCAATTTTGTTATTACTTTTTTCATCTGCTGTATAATATTTCTCATTTCATGATATGCATTCATTAAATAAACCACTCCGCAAGATACAATAGCATGTACACTTCCAGGCTTCAACACCAGAAGGAGCTAAAACACTGCAGGTTTTTCCAAACAAAGTGCTTGGTAACAGAAGCTAGTGATGATTTTTACAGTACAGACATTCTGCACATAGATATGTTATTGGTAGATAAATGTACTAACTATGCATGACTTAACAAATCAATTATCATTTAAAACCAAGAAAACTTATTGTTGGTGACAAACTGGTGGATAAAACAATGACACATTTTTGAAGCATTTCATGTAAGATGCCAACAATCTATTTCCCCCAAGACATTGGTGAACAGTTCCATTATATGTCCAATTATGACTTTTAATTATTTAATAATTATTTAAAGTTTAGCAACAAATACTAGATATTAATAAAATTATTTTAAAAAATTATTTTTTTTAAAGTATTAGGTAATAAAAATCCATGTATACTTGAATTCTACATTGTAGCCCAATATTCTTCTATAATTGTACATATTGACTAAATATCGGCATTTGGTAAATTGTGGCATTGCCATTTGTAGACCAAAGAGTTAGACAAAAAAAATTTCAAAATTGAGACTCCAAAAAGTAGAAATACACTCATAACAAATAATGAAACAATAATGTGGGTTTAATCATGACAGAGCAAAAAAAACAAAAAACATATGTTTAAGAGGAAGTCTTTTATCATATTTAGGCTACACATGGTGAGATCTTATGAGATTTGCATAGTTTAGTATATGTCCACTCTGAGCTGCTGAGCTGAGCCAAAAATTGGAGGAAGTCAAATAAATGAGTCACGTTTACATCTAATTTAGTTACAGAGCAAAATTCCTGTTGAATGTGTTGGGGCTTCATTTTTTGGGACTTTCAGCAACTAGAATAAATGACTGGTTGTGTTACTGCATAGAAATAGAATATTTTGCTTGTTCTTGAGATGTGATACTGCCGATTTGTTATCCGCAGGGCCGGCCTTAGGTGTTCAGGCGCCCTGTGCGAAACAATCTTGTGGCGCCCCTCCCCCCCCCCTCACCTGTCTCTGTTTGGACCCCTTCAAACTATTTTAGGAGCATTCACAATCTGTTGCCTCCACCCCCTTCTACAAAACCACTGCACCTCTTAACCAAAATCCCTGGCCAGATCTTCACCAAGCCCCTGGCCACCACTTCATCAAACTCCTGGCCACCCCTTCATCAATGCCCTGGCCATCCCTTCGTCAAACTCCTAGCCACCCCTTACCCTTCATCAATCCCCTCCCACCCCTTTATCAATTCCTGCCACCCCTTCATCAGTCCCCTGCCCCTCTCATCAATTCCCTCCCACCCTTTACTCAGCCCTCTGCCCCTATTCATCAGCCACCTGACCCCCTAATCAATCCCCTCCCACCCCTTTAACAGCCCTCTGCCCCATTCATCAGTCCCCTGACCCCCTCACCAATCCCCTCCCCCTTTTATCAGCCCCCTGACCCCCTCATCAGTACCCTCCCACCCCTATCACCCACCTGCCCCCCTTTAATCAGTCCCATGCCCCCCTTTTCAACCCCCTGCTCCCCTTCATCAGCCCCCTTAATACATCCCATGCCAAATAATCCAACCCCTGGCCACCCCTTCATCAGTCCCCTGCCCCCTTAATTAGACCCAGTGCCACCCTTATCTAGTCCCCTGCCCCCCTTAATTAGACCCAGTGTCACCCTTATCTAGTCCCCTGCCCCCCTTAATTAGACCCAGTGCCACTCTTATCTAGTCCCCTGCCCCCCTTAATTAGACCCTGCCCCATTTAATGAAAGATGTTTGGCTTAAAAATAAATAAGGTACTTACTTTGAAGGCTGCTGCTCCCTCCCTGTCTGCAGAGCACCGGCCGCCGCCCTCACACATGGAGCGGATCCCTCTGCGGCTCTCTGTGAAGGTGCAGCACTTGGACGCTGCGCCTGCGCCCCAAGCTCCTCCTCCACGCTCCGGAAACTGACCGCGGCTCAGCTCTCACACAATCTCGGGCCGGCCAGTGACAGAGCGACTGCGAGCTGTGTCGGCCGCCCGGCGCCCCTGTTGCCATGGCGCCCTGTGCGGCCGCACAGCTCGCACACCCCAAAGGCCGGCCCTGGTTATCCGCATTATAAAAGAAATGCTAATTTTATCTGATATATACACTTATATTTTTATATTTTTTTCCTTATTTATTTTACCACATAAAACCTCTGCCACATTCTTACTTGCAGCATTATAAGAGCTTAAAACATTTTTCTGGAGCATTTTCTTTCTGTCTGTTTATGATAGAAAACAAAAACAGCACTCTGGAAAAAAAACGTTGAAAGCAAACAGACACACAGATAAAATAATAACCCCATAACATTATAAAGAAAACATAACAGACATTCTACGTTCAGTCTTATAAAGCATCAGGCAACTCTGTCAACTCCCTTATATTCTTCTAAAGAAGTGATTATCAAGCAAGATTCCCTGCACCAGATGAAGCCACTGTGCACAATAGGTTTATCATCTAAATAGCAGCATTACAAACATCAGACCAAAAGAATGTGCACATAAAAAGAGGGAGAGGATAATGATAGTATTGATACAGAGATCTAACATATTGTCTGAAGGCTGGTGAAATATTTTTTTGGTATAAAGTTTTGTTTTTGATAGAATTTTCTTTCAATAAATGTTTCAAAGTATCTCATATAATAATTTCCCTCAGGAAAAAATGTATTTCTTGGTTTATTTAACTTTCAATTTATAGTATTATTTTGGAACTTTTGTTTCTTTTGTAGCAATTACATTTGTCATTTGTACTACTGAGAAATCAAAGGGACTACTGTTACATTTCCAACAACCAAGCCAAGATAGACATATATAGGTAGATTCAGTTGTGGTCAGTTTACAGGACCATTGGAGAATTGATAATATGTGTACCATTTTTAAAGAAAACACGAGCAAGTAGGCAAAACACATTTCTTTTATTTCTTATAGGATTCATAAGAAACTGTAGGTTATAACAGAATGGCACAATCATAAAACAAAACATGACAACAAAGAAAAATATAAAATGACTCCTGTACAAAAGTCTGCATACCCTCAGTTCTTAATACTGTGTATTGCCCCCTTTAGTATTAATGACAGCATGCAGTCTTTTTAATAGTTGTCTATGAGGCCTCTAATTCTTGCAGCTGATATTGCTGCCTATTTGTCTTGGCAAAATGCCATCCTGGTCATGCAAAATAGAGGAAATCTAAGGCACTCACTGTGATGAGTTAAGCAGGTTTAATGGACACCGCGGTGCCTGAGATTTTTCTTTTATACACGTTCTTATGGTGTTTACTGATCCATACTTAGTCAGCACCCTTTGATTTTTTTTAATGATTGAATGCAACCATCTTTTCTCTTTTTGTCCAGGTCATGCAAAATCTTTGGTTGTCTTGCATGAACCACACGTTTGAGATCTCCTAAGAGTGGCTTGATGATATTAAGGTCAGGAGACTGTGATGGCTACTCCAGGACCTTCATCTTTTTCTGCTGTAACCACTGGAGGGTCAACTTGGCCTTGTGCTTAGGGTCATTTTCATGTTGGAAAGTCCAAGAGTGTCCCATGCGCAGCCTTCATGCAGAAGATTTCAAATTGCCAGTATTTTCTGATAACATGCATTCATCTTGCCATCAATTTTCCCAAGATTCCCCATGCCTTTAGAGCAGGGCCTTGTATACATCATGTTTTAGTCCAAACAATGATTAAGATGTCTAGGCCATGAGAATAGACTGATTAAGATATTTCCATGTGGAATAAATAAGTCAAGGTTATGTCATTTAATGGTCATGGCCTCGTACCTTTAACAAGTTAAGGTAGATTAGATAAATACCTTTCCTAACATGACCTAATTGAAAATCTATGATATACCTATATGTACTTATTAATATTAGACACAAAGGTAAGTATTTGGATGCAAAGACTCTGCAGAATTTTACTAGACTGAAAGGTTCACATGCTCAAGAGTGTATGCTTATCTGTTTTACTCATATTGCAAGCATATACTTTAATCATATAGTCTCTGCTGTAAATTATTATAATGGTTATTAAGTGCACACTACAGTCACCAGAACAACTGCAGCTTAATGTATAACATGTCCCTGCAGGCTTTTAAATGTAAACTCTGCCTTTTCAGAGATGGCCACTGGAGGTGCTTCCTGGGTCAGTGCTGCATGGAGATGTTCAACTCTCCTCAGAGAGATGCTCCCATTGATTCAATGCATCTCTATGAGGTGATGCTGATTGGCCACGCCGGTGCTTGGCCCTGCCCCCCCTCGCCCCCTTGATGATCTCAGCAAATTTGATAATCTCAGCCAATCCAATGCTTTCACATAAGAAAAGCATTGGATTGGCTGAGATTATCAATTTTGATGATGTCAGCCAAGGAGGTGGATCTGGGCAAACCAGCGCTAATGGACCCGCGTAGTGCTGGAATTAAGGTGCCTTTTCACCCTATTTAAGGGTGGCAAGGGGGAGGGGGCAGGTAATTAAATAGTGATATTAACACTAAAGGGTCAGGAATACCTGTTTGTATTCCAGACCTTATAGTGTTTCTTTAAGTTTTTATATGTCTATATTTATTTATATTTAATAAAATATTTTAAAAGACAAATCTTTATTGCTTCCAAGACAATCCCTCTTTTTTTATTTTCTTCTCAATTATTTACATGTTTTAAATAGAGAAACCCTTACCAACTATATACTATTATTGCTAAAGATACCTGTAAGGTCAGCCCTGCTAAATTATATACTTTAAGACTTTATAATGGTAAATAAGGGTACCAAAGTGGATACAATAGTAAATGATCTATTTTTTATTGAAATGCTCTTTGGGCTTTATCTATATTTATCAGATCTTACGTTCTCTGAACTCAATAATAAGCATACTAGTAGGTATCCTCAAACTCGTATGGTGGTGAGTCAGTATGGAAATATGAAGACATAAAACAGAATATAGTGTTTATATTCTATAGCAAAAAAGAAAGAATGAGAACGAACAAAAGCTTAGAGTAAACGCAATAGCTTGCCCTTCGGTACATCCCCGCTTAGGACTCAAAATAGTTTTTGCTCACTTATGCCATTACAGAGAGAACATATCTGAAACATATCAGACTGGTCCCACCCATACGGGCAGTCCAGATCCGCAATGCCGGCAAGTTCCCTCTGCACAAGAGATTCAGTAACCCCAGACGATCGTTTCAGGCTTCTTTTGGGCCTCATCAGTGAGGTGTAGCTGATATCCCTCTAGGCACAGTGAGCATGGGGTCCATGTCTGAATTACCCTTTTAACTTGGGGTGAACCAAGTTAATGCATTAAAGCAAAAAAAAAAAAAAAACATGAGAAAAAACTATTTTGAGACCAGAGCGAGGATGTCCATTCTCAGAGTTCTCATTCTTTCCAGTTTATTCTATAGGTGGTGAGGTGAAATAAGAAAAATGATACTTACAATTTGTAGATCCTTGTAGATGGTAGGTCAGGGTCAAGCGTCAGTTAGAGTGTTGAGCGTTCACGGGCATTTGAAAAAATGCAAAAAACAAATATGAACACTAACTTTGGCCACTTGTGGCTACTAAAAAAGACTGAACATACACCATTTGCAATACCTTGGGTTGTTTACTTTTGCAAATGGTATTCCATCATGGGGGTAATTCTCATTCCTGGGCTACCATATGGTCTCAAAGGCAATGCTACCAATCTGGCAAATTTCAATAAAAAAAACCCCCTGAAATGCAAGCCTTATATTTGACTCTCTAACTTTCCAAAACATCACAAAACCTGCACATGGGGGGTACTGTTATACTTGGGATACGTCACTGAGCACAAATATTAGTGTTTCAAAACAGTAAAATGTATTACAACAATAATATTGCCACATCACTTTCACTGACAATATCATCGTTGTAATACAATTTACTGTTTTGAAACACCAATATTTGTGTTCATTGAAGTCTCCCGAGTAAAACAGTACTCCCCATGTAAAGGTTTTATGGTGTTTTGGAAAATTACAGGGTTAAATATAGGGTTTGTGAATTCAATTCTCTGGACTTTCTGCCTGGGTTGTCAGGCACGTCCCTCAAAATTTGATTAATAAAATTACATAATTATGTTAAAAGATTACATAAATATACACGTAGAATATTAACACACATATATATATATATATATATATATATATGTGTGTGTGTGTGTATATATACATACACACATA